CAGGCGGCTCCTGGGGGGCGGGGGTGAAGCAGTGGTCCAGCCTGGGAAGGGAGTCCTCGACTCGGTTGAACAAAACCTGCCTTAAGCTAACCCAGAGCAGGAGGGAGGCTCAAGGACAGCCTCATCCTGCACAACCCAGCCGACACACTTGCTGGCGTCTCCCTGCAGGCGCAGGTGAGGAGCCGGGGGAAGGGGGGCGACGACTCTGGCTCGAGGAGCCGATCCCCACCGCCCTGGCTTAGTCTCACGAGGTGCCACAGGGAGGGCTGGCGGGCTTTCCTCGGCCAGGCCCGGACCCAGGCATGGGCGAACTGGGGCCCGAAAAAGAAAAAAATAAAAAATAAAAATGTTTTAATATTAAATATACAGTACTGGCTATGTTATCAATTGAGAACGAACTATTCAAAGACATCCATACCACAGATGCGATAATGATTTTGTTGTTGTTGCAGAAGTCTTATCTCTGGTGAAGGGGGGGCCTGATACTAAAAGTTCACCCAGGGCCGCCAGGAGTCTAGGTACGGCACTGTCCTCAGTCCACACCATGGCAGAGTTGCACTGGGCATGGGCCTGGCAGGAAAGGAGCCCTGCTGTGGGGCTGCCCTGGCCCTGCCCTTGAGGGGAACAGCCCTGCACAGGGACACGTCCCCGCTGCACCCAGTCACAGCCTGGCCTCTGCCACGCGCATCACCATGCCTGGCCCTGGACTTAGCTCAGGACATTCAGGAGAAGGAAAACACCTTCCAAGCACCATAGCAGAGACAGGATCCCTGTATTCAGAGAAGGAGTCCTGTGGGTGGGGGAGCTCTGGTCAGCGAAGGACCAGCAAAGGCCCTGTTGGGCTTCGTGTATATACTGCCTCGTCATTCAAGAAAGAAAAAAAACACCTCAAGCCTGGATGGTTCGTGCATTCCCACAGGTCATTTACAATCAATCAGTCCCAAGCAAGGACATCCAGAGAAAGGAAGAAATCCATTGGCCAAAGCAACAGTAAATTGACCAAATTCAGTTATGGGAAGAGAAGTGAAAAGAAAAATCACTCCATCACCACCACTTCAGGCCTTAGCAGAGCTGCTCCAGTCTTCTCCTGTTCCCCAAGTAAAGCATATTTTCCCCCCAGATTAAGCTGCATTCATGGCAATATTTCTCAGTCAACTCCCCTTTATCATTTCTGCTGCCTTTGAGGCATGCATATAAAAAGCAGTCTGTTCAGTATGTTAAAAGATACGTTATGGGTCTGATCTAGTGTTTTAAATCTACACTGACTGGTGCTTTACAGTGCCTGGAATTATTTACAGTACATCCAAGTTTTGCACTGACCTGGAGATGGACTTCAGGAGCAAGCTGCTTTTCCTCCTATAACTGCTACAAACTTTTCCTCCTCTAACTAACTCATTAGAATCAGTGCACCTTTGGGGATTTTTTAAAAGAGTTTATTATTTTTTTAATTACCCCACTCTGCACACACATTTTGTTTAAGAATATTAAAATTTGAGTAAACAAGTTATTGCTAACACTTCCCCTGAAAAGGTGCTTTATAGGTAGATTTAAAGGAGTACAGATTGTACCTGATGAGATGAAAAGAGACTCCACAAACTGAATATAAATATGCTTTAAAGTGATCTTTTGCTTTTCAGTCGCACACTTTATAAAGCTTATTAAATAGGAATAATGTCCTCAGGATCAGGTCCCTGGACCGTATGTAAGATTTTGTAAGTGGATGATTTCCCCTCCAAGCAGCTGGACTACAAATCCTTTCCTTTCTTAGAAGCTCCCAGTTTCCTGTTGTCTCCTAATCCCACTAGATCACCAGTCGGCCATGGATTCCTCCAGTAAAATCAGGTTAGATGAAATCTGAAATGTAGTACATAAGAGGAAAGAATATATAGATACATAGATATATATGCACAGAAGGCCGAAACACTTGGGGCTCTTGTATCCATCATTAAGCAGCAAAGAAGAGCACAAGCACATTGTTTTCCTTAACATGTCACCCTTAATGGATTAACAGGGGTGTTTGTTTAATTGTGAAGCACTGGAGAAATACACTGTTCTCAGTAGCACCACACTTCCTCCTATATGGTATGATACACTGGTGAACTGCAATACTGTGCTAAACACTGGGAACAAGCAGAGCTGTGTGCAAAAAACTGCATTGCTAGCAAAAAATACATCAATCAAAACTCTACTTCTAATGCACTTTGTCATTTATAATCACACTAATAAGGCACCAGCGAAGTGCTGTCAGCATCATAAAATATCAGGTGCCAGCAGAAAAACTCCAAACACCATTGAACTTGCTTTTCACTGCATTCTCCAAGCAGTTAATTTTGCAGGTGTATTTGCAAATGGAGACAGGAATCCATCAGTCATGTCACATTGGTATTATAGCAAAATTACATTAAATATAAAAGGTATGGCTTTTTTGAAGTGGTTCACTTTCTTCATTCACAAATATCAGCATAAGTGCATACAGCATTATTGGCAGACAAGATTCTTTGGGTAAAAATGGTATCTTTTATTAAACCAACTCAAATAATTGAAAAAATTCTTCTTTGCAAGCTTTCAGGTACAAAAACCTTACACCAGACTGAAGAAGTTTCTGCAGTTGGTGTGTGCTCTTCCTGGATGGAAGAATAGTAAAGAGGCCAGAGTCTGGGCTAGTCTGCATGAAAGACAGGCAATCAGTGAAGATGTAAATTGAGGAGTCAGTGTGAGAGAGAGGTTGGTGTGGGAAGGGAAGGGAACAAATGTAGCTGGTAAATAGTGGAGAGGTCCCTGGGGAGTCAGATGTCAGGCAGATTATAATGTGTCATAAATCCAGGGTCTATATTTAGTCCATGATTTTTTATATATCCAGGAGGTTGATGAAGTGAAGTTTGTAGGCTCGTCTCTGGGAAGTGTTTTGTAAGTTGCCTTTGAGGATCAAGACTTTGAGATTGGAGAGAGAGTGGTTTTCTTGCGAGAAATGTGCCCCTCCAGGTAGTTTGGTATTCCTGTCTTTGCTAATTTTCCGGTGTGCATTCATTCTGGTGCGCAGTTGTTGTTTGGTCTCTCAAACGTATTTTCTGTCAGGGCATTTGGTGCATTGGATGAGATACATTACATTTCTGGAGGTGCAGCTGTAAGATCCAGGAATGGTGATGGTTATGTTGTGGGGTGTAGTTATTGTGGGGGAGGTGGAGATGTTGGCAGGTTTTGCATTTCTTGCCCTGGCATGGTCTGGATCCTTTTGGTGTGTTCTGGGCTTGAGGAAGTTTGTTT